AATAGGAAATTTTTAAGTCTTTGATGTGAAAAGGGGGCAAACCTTCATTTCAGGGCCTACAATAACACGGAGCAAACTATCTCTTAACTCGGGGTTTTGGCAAAGGATTTGCTGTACCAATTGCAGTAGTCCTTTCTGCGTTTTGTACAATTTGCTTTTTGTTTTAATTCTGTTCATTACAGTTGTTATCTGATTGTTGAAAGCTGTTTAGATATTTTTTTTCCGTTACATTTTTTTGTATCTTTTGGTAGGGCAGGGAATCAAAATTGATAGTTTACCTTTCTTTATAAATGTTAAACTCTGAACCTACAGTGGGTTTTACTACTTCCTCAGTCTACCTTCTGAACAGTAGTCTTCTGACAACAAATTTCTTACCGGACTAATTTCTGCTATCTTTCATTATAGACATTCCTGTTTTCTTGATAACCTTTTTTGGTTTAAATGGAACCAGAAGGGTAACAGTTGTGGGCTGAATCCAATTTATATGAATGTTATCTGATAAGAATCCACAGTTATCTTCCTTAACCCCACAAATTTTTCAGGCTTTTGCAACCCAACTTTAAGGTTCAGTTGGAACATTTTGCTACTTAAAATGATGTTTATTTATGAAATCATTCCCTTGAGGCTCAATTCAACTCATTAGAAAAAACATTTATAAAATTTTGATAGATTAAATTGTACCCCATGATGCTTGTGAGATACTACTGTCATCAGTAGGTGTGTACAGCTTTAGGTTGCTCCCCAGTGCTTTGTCTGGGAGCTTTTCTATAGTATTTTCTTATGGATGTCTTTTTTTTAATTTCCACTGTTTTAATCTCAAATCTCATTAATTATATTTACAGTTCGTATTCAACTTTTGATGACATGGAAGTGTTTTTACATGGTCTTGGTCTAGAACACATAATAGGATTATTGAAGGTAAGTTTGTGGTGTATCTGCTATCTGTAAAGTAATCCATGAAAGCAAAATGCACCTACAGCATCAAAAAAAGTTCTATCACTATTAGCATATTAATTCAAATGAATTTATTAAATTAATTCAAGTAAATTTATTAAACAGAAGTTTATATATAAAGTGTTAAGTTAAACTGCAATGGACTGGATTGGATTGCTTAATTTTGATTATGTGCATTAGTCACAACGTGTGATGTTTCTAAACTAGAGAACTCTTTCATTACTTTGATAACGGTGTTGTGTAGCTGCTTTTGTTTCTGCAAACTGAAGTAAAACATAAGTGAAAAAAATTAAGTGAAAACTGTTTTCTTCTGAAGTTCTTTTTGATGGCAGAAAACCCTTTGTTTTATACAGGAAAGAGATATAGCTTTAAGACAACTTCTGATCATGCAAAAAGATGAGTTAGTACAGGTCAGTTTACCACTTTAGAACTTGATTTAGTTCTCTTTCTTAAATGTTTTTAATGTCTTAACTTCTCTTTATAAATGTCTAACCTTGTAAGACTTTTTTTTTTAAGATCTGTTTTCAGAATCATCTGCAACTTCTTGATTTTTAATGTGAATATAGACAGACCTTTTCTAAAGTATGTAATCCCACAGATCAACCTTGAATTCTGTGAGTTGAATTCTTGCACCTTCTCTGCCTAGAACTGACCATGAAGTGGAAGTCCCCAGTATTTCTTTGCTGCAATGATGTGGGAGTTGGGGTGAGCAGGAAATAGTTCCGTTTTAAATTTTAGTTCTTACCATTTTTAGTATTTAAGTATGTTTTCCCTGAAAGGAAATCGGTGCTAGGATTAGCAGTAGATAATCCTAAACAACTACTTTAAATGTGGTCATTCTTTGTGAGGTGGTAATTTCTGTTGGAAAAACGAGAGCTCTCTTACATTGTGGAATCTCATATCCCACACAGGCTTGTGTGATGGGGGTGGGGGGGGGGGGAAGAGGAAAAAAGATTTGGTTTCTTACTGTTTACTGCAGCTAGGAAGGTTGGTATTTCACTGTTATCCAGGAGTAAATGATGCATTATTACAAGGTTTCAGTTTCCAGTTGAGATAGGGTGGTTGCTTTTCCTTAGTCTTCACTGGAATTATTCCTGTGGGAAATGAAAGACTTCCTGTTCTTACAGGATGCCATAATAAAATCCAATTATAGGAGTGTCCTTGGAATAATGCAAGTACTTCAGGCTGCAGGATTCTTCTGAGCACTCTGTACCTGGTCTGGGATACCAAAGACACCTCGTTAAAATAGCTGCTTCAAGCCTGCTCCCTGCTACTGATGCTATCCAAGTCCTCAGTGTCAGCTTTTCCCCCCCTATTCTGGTACCAAGGCAGCACGTGTTCTAGCAGCTGGAATGGACGGTTGCATACAGATGTTAATATCCCTTCAGAGTTGGTGTCACAAGGATGTTTCGCATGAAGTTTTGACTTGTAACTCAGTAGAGTTCAGTGTTTTGACAGAGCTCAGAAGTAATTCTGTATTCTCAGAGGATGCATGTATAGGGAGCTTTGTTGATGAAGAGATTTTTAGGAGTTCACTTAGACCTAAATATTATAAGGCATGTCAGCATGTTCTGATGTTACTGCTTTTCTGAAGCCTCGGGATTGTGCCCATTGGACAGCATCCCGGTGTAGGCTTTATATGACTCCTAAAGCCCCCGTTGACAGGAATTTTGCTCTTAAAGCAGATTTTTGTGGCTTTGTTCTCATCACTGTGTGAGCTGCTGTCTTGGTCATGATTGCATTAGACTGCAGATCTGACTGAGTATATGTTCATATTGATCACCTGTTTTGATGTTGTAATTGTTAGTTGGTTTTGTCCAGGGTTCCTTCACTGAAGAGGTATAATTTCACACAAACTGATAACTTCTGTTTCAGTGGTCTAACATGTTTGTGGCTCCCTATTATAAAGAGGGCTTTTTTGGACAAACTGAAATAAATACGTGGATCAGCTGCTCTTGTACAGGAAGATAGTATCTATAGGAACGGAATTGTTTTGCCTCTTAGCTCTGCAACAGCAGGAAACAGTTCCTGGAAAATAAGTCGTGCTTTGTGCATGGACATAAATTAATTAGTGAGTCTTCAATCGAGAATTAAAAAAATTACATAACACTCCTGGCTTATTAGCACTTCATAAGTTATCCTAAATTCTTGATGCAGTCTAGTTTTAGAGCTCTACTAACAGTTTCTCCCCACACTGCTGATAGAACAAATCTAATCTGTTTCCTCGTAACTCCAGAGTTGAAAGTTTTTAGTGTGATGGCAGATCTTCAGCTAACAGCCAGCTCTTTTAAAGAGCCTGGATCTTATTACTACAAAGATTAATGATGACCTCTGATGGATGCCTCTGAACCAAGCTGTTTTGTATCCAGAGAACTGGGGAGAAATCCTGTCGCTAACATGATACGCTTTCCTCCATCAAACAATATCAGAAAGATATTTTCTCTGTAAATATCTTTATCTGTATTCTACAACAGAGCCTAAACAATGACTCTTTCAAGCTGAAATCCTTGCATTCCTTAAGCTTATAAACTGTTCCATACTGAGACAAGTCTGTTCAATATACTGGGACATGTCTATTCAACATTTGGAGGTTTTTGTCTGATTCTGTGCTACTTGTAACACTTGGATCTTTTTTGTCTGGTTTATTTGAGCATTTATCTCACAAGACAGTGACAGAAGTAATTTTACTTCCTGATGCATTTAGGACTAAGATGTTTCCTTTCTCACATTTATTAGCTTAGAATAACAGAAATTGGCATCCTGATCTGGATTTGAGAATGCATAATGAAAAGTTGACACAAGAAAATTCAAAATATAACCCAGGAGTTTAACTTCATCATTAGAGAATTATCTGGTCTGTGTGCTTCCATATCACAGTTCCAGGACTCTCCTTCCTCTGCCCCCCCTTCCCGCAAAAAAGCATTTGATATTTGGAAGAAAATTGTCAGGTTATTAAAAATAGCGGCCACTTGGGCAAGATGGCAAGGATGTAAGAGTTCATGCATAACCTCACTGGTTTTATCTGAGAAGTATGTCGTCTTCCATGTCTTGAGGCAATCTGTTATTTACCGCCTCTTTTGTTTCCATCTAAAGGATGACAGAAAAGTCATGTCGATGCTGGAGCATGAGTTTGGGAAGTGGATTTTCAGGGATTGATTTTTATTTATTTAAGTAAAGAATAAAATAGATGTTGTTAGAGTTTATGTGCCTAAAATCAAAAGCTAGACTGCGCATTGTCTGGTTTACAGATATAAGCAAGTTCTTGTACAACACTTGTGCATTCTTAAACATATGGCCACTTCACAATAATAATTGCATTATTTGGACTGCAGAGCGTAATTGAACCAACACTAACTTAAAAGCTTGCTTATCCATAAGGAAGAAGGTCTTCTTGCACTGTGCTTGTTCCATGCATTCATCATTGCATGAATAGTCAGGTTCTGGGTAACCCTCACGTTCAGCAGAGATGGTCTAGAAAGGGAAAATATGTCTGCTTTGGGAAGTAGTTTGGACTGGGCTATCTACTTTCTGTCTCTAAGTTCTGCACCTAGTACTTCTGAATTCAGAATTACTGTGGGTGGAAGGCTTTATCTATGATGACTTTTATCACATTCCTTACTTCCTAAACCATACCTTCAAGATGTGGTGGTGTTCAGTCACTGATACATTTGCAGAAGGATGAAGTTATGTTTTATTTATAGGGAAGCAAAGTACAATATCTTCCTGCTACACTGGTCAGAAAGCTGTATCCTGATTTGCTTGTTCCAAGAATGAGAATATGGAGTCAAAAGCAATCCCAATCTTCACAATAGTTCCTGCTTTAAGCAAGACAGTTTTAATATTCAGGAGTAACTGCCATTCTGTCCTTGGAAGAGCTCATTTGATTTGTTAATTAAAAGTAAACTTACTGCTCTTGTATAAATCAGCTTACTTCTGCGTCGTGAAATAACTGCTGTAATCTTTTGTAAGCATTAAGAAAACATTAGTTCATACCAGATAGGGCAACGATACAAGGCAAACCTGAGAACTAATAAATTGAGCAAACTTACAGCTCGACATAAGTAAAGCAAATCATTTCTAGGAAACCCAAATCTTTCTCTCTTAAGGCTGCTAGTGATATTTACCAAAGAGACTTGAGTACAATTTGTTCAGGTGCCCATGGCAACCTATTGGAAACTCTAAAGTTCTTGACATCTCTAGTTAAACTCCCAATTAACCTTGTTGGGATTTTACATTACTGAAGAACTTACTTATCTATAGACTTATAACATGGTTTTGAAATGTTTAAAGACACACTTGTGAGCCTATAGTTATGTGTTACCTGTCATTTCGGAACACCTGGTGGAGAACCTGGAGGACTATTTTATGGAGCCATGATGAACACTGGGCATCAGAAGCGACAGTCTCACACAAAGCAAGCATTTCTCTAGGCACCTTCTCTTCCCTAGAATTGCTGCTTGGCACCATCCGAGGAAGAGAGACTGCCTGGCGTTTTGATCTGATGTGTATTGTCACCTGTTCATTCAAAATTCTTTCTGCAATAATTACAGAAAGCTGGGAGACTGCAAACACTAACATCTTACAGATTTCTGAGGCTGCAGGAGGGAAATTCATGTCCTCAGAACATCAGTGAGAGCCCTGTATGTTCCAGCTTTGGAGACTGTGGGATCCTTGCGATCTCAAATTCCAGAGTGGTCCACTCCTGCTGAGTCCAGGTATTCAGCTTGGAGGGTTAGGAACAAAGTCATACTTGGAGCTGGCATTGCAAGGCTTTTTCACTTCTGTGGAGAAGCATCCTAAGGGCTGCGAACATCAGAAGTCCTGTGTTGCACAGCAGCCTGTCAGATGAGCAAAGAAAAGTATTGAATGTGCCGCAGAAGCACTTCCCTTTTAACAAATGGACTATTTTTTTCCTTTATTTAAGTGTTCTGCAAGAAAACTCTCAGCCTAGGATTTAAATATGAGTTAAATTTTAATCTGAGATAGGTGATGGATAACACAACTGACAATGTTTTCTGTGCCAGGCATCACTTGGAGAACCTCAGTTACGTAGTGTGTATCTTCTGAAGAGTTGTGCTTCAGCTAAAAAAGACAAAAAGCCTTGAACACTTCAGAACTTTTCTGTTGTTGTTTGCAGCATTAGCCAAGAGTATAGAAGATGAACTGATTTGAGCTTAGGGACTGTATAAGCTGATGTCGAGTAGTATTTAGGCTTGGTCTTAATTTGAGCCGAGAAATCTATTCTGAATTTATAAGTATGCTGTCCTTCAGATGTATAAAAAGGCTGCTTTTACAGGCTATTCCATGGTAGAAACATCCAGCTGAATGTCTTTTTAACACATCATATTCTCTCTCTCTACTAGTTTCTGATCATTTGAGGTTTTGGTAGTGTGAAGCAACTAGATTTCTTTGTAGAAGTAACTTATTTTGAAAATGAGATTCTATAAGAAAATAAGGTTTTAGAAAGCGCTGTCATTTCTTATGAGACCAGTTTCTCTAACTGGAAAAAAAGCTTGTAAAATCCCTTCTTAAAATCTGGCCTCTTTCTGTAAAATTCTCCATTTGATGCTGATTTGATAAGTTTCCATTCTTTCTTTCTGAGTTAATGCTGTATCACCATCATGATGATTGGTTATTTTGCTATATGAGATGACTGAAATGATTCTGAAACAGATGAGCGCAACATCCTAACAACATAGGGGTGCTTATAAAAATTGCTACTAATTTTTTAATAAACGTTAAACGGATTTTCTGAATATCCTGTGTAATTTCAGTTTGGCTCTTCCTCAGCTCTTGTAATTTTGTTTTGCATCATTGAATAATTTCTGTGGGTTTATTTTTTCCTTTGGCAGTTACATACATTGTAGTTGGTTGCAATAACTTAAAAGCATCTTCTTTTGACTCTTAATAATTAGAAACTCACACAGTAAATGGTACTGTACTGTTATGCCTAATAAGTATTAAAAGTAAATGATATTTGGAATTACTCTTTAAATTTAGATTGGCATTACAAATCCTGGAGATCAACAGAAACTCCTAGATGCTATTAATGAGCTACAAGTGGAAGAAATAAGAATTGGAGACCTCTCTGAAGTGATGAAGCTGGAATTGAGGTATTAACTGCATATCTAAGGAAATGGAAGTGAAATATGAACTATTTAAGGTCACTGCATTATTTTCTGTAGCTCAAAGGAAAAATTCTCTCACACCTTATCCCATGCATAACATTCATGAGATGGCATAACATTACTCCAGTTAGTGGATTATGAGGGCTGGTGGGACGTGTGTTTTGTACAAAGAGAGTTGGAAGCATAGATTCCTGTTGTAGGAATCTGTTTATGGGTTATATTGCTATTATACGCCATTACTTTGGCCATCTGTTTGAGCGGTGAGTTCTTTCTTTGTACCTCAAACAGGGCTATATGGCCTTGCTGTGCAGGGTTTTCACTACCTTGTGTTCATATCATAAACTCTGAAACTGGCTTCTTGGGCTCCAGTATTAACTCATTCTTTAATTTCTCTGATAGGCTTCAGTGAGCAGATTTTTTTTTATTTCTCCGTGGAATTGGGGTCTTGCCCTCCTTGCTTCCT